TGCCGACTCCTTCGTCATGTCGGTGGTGTCGCAATCGATTCCGTTGAGGTGGCGATGCAGAATGCCACGGCAACATAGGCCTCCCCTCTACTCTCTCTCTCGCGCTTTCCCCCCCCTCCTCTCTACACTTATCCCAAAGGACTATTTCGACACCTCTCCCATCACGACGCTCCCCTCACCACTACGTGTTCGCGTGGACCCTCTGCTTATGCGATGGCCCCCACGGAAACAATGACACCTTAGCCACACGGACTGTCCGACAATAAACACAGTTCGGACGTGTTTGCATGTTATTAACGTGGGTACTAATGTCATTACCACTTATTATGTTGACATTTTATGGCTTTTTATGGTCGGCAGTGATTTCGCGTTAGGCAAAGTTAGTTCTCGTTGATGAATACTATACTGGGCCGCAGTTTACTGCTTACAAATTGGGAAACACTACATTATCACTGAGCACTGGAAATTCTTTTTTTCGACCAAAATTCTCGTCGGGAGTCCTTAACGCAGTACAAGGGGAAAAATACTTAAGGACCGGGAATACAGAGCCATTTTGTATAGTTTAGGATGTCAAGTGACAAAATTAACATTAAAGTTCGTTCACATTCGTATCTTACATCTCTTTTTCTTGGACGTCTACTACGAGAATTTCTATACTGACTAAAAGAACTTAATCCTTCTTCACATTATCATGACACTAGTCCTCTTAACCGTCCCCCCAACCAACCCCCCAATACCCCCACAACCCACCCCACCTCCTGCTGTAGTTTACCTATAGTAACAAAACTACTAAAACGTTAAATCAGAATAGGTAAAAATAACATAACATGCACATATATAAGAGGTCTATAAAAATATAAAAAAAATATGATGTCTATACACTTTATTTATCGGCTCTCATCAGCGCAATTTTAAATACCACATATATTATAACTTATTAAGATGTGTAAGAAGTACTCACAAAACAAATATCAGTAACTCGACATCGCTTCACAGCGATGACATAAGATAAATATAAAGAGAAACAAATAAAACCTTAAGAGAAAATTAATTTAATTATTAATGCCTGTCTCTCCACATATCACACTCCCCTCCACCATTCCTCTAAATGCCGATAAATAGCCGTCGCACATAAAACGTTGCACCCCTTGCAAGACAGTAGAAACCTCACTCAAGTCACTGTTTGTTTGTTTCCCCCTGTCTGTATTGTTTGTGTGTGCGTGGTGGCTGTCACTCCTGGCTCCCGGCTCAACCTCCACTCAGCTGCTGCAATCAGCTGTGCACCCTCCCCGACTACACACCTGCTTTCCATCAAGCCATTTACAACGGCATATCAACAGAGGCTCCACAACCTTTCTCCGCCAGATCGTCAAGTATCAGCCGTATCTCGCGTCTCCCCTCCGGTACACAGCACCGTAGTGTGGAGTTGCATTAGGTAACGCGAGATACGGCTGATACTTGCGCATTAGTTTCTGTTATGGATCAGTATCAACAGTCCTGCCAGTAACGTTACTATATTATCAATGCTACTTTAGTTATAGCCTGATATATGATAGCTAACTTCACAATGTTGTGATGTGACGTTAGCTAATATTCTGTAGCTAACGCCTGTCACTCACCAAGATAGCTGCCCAGTTCTCCACTGGTTCTCCTCACACCACAGCTCAATTTCTCTCCGATGGCCGTTATTTCTTCTAACCCTTGGCTGCTCCTGGTCTCTTGGACGCCCAGCAGGCTCATAATTAGAAGGTTGTGGTCCATCATATGCATTCGAATATTCATGTTCAACTTCTTCTGTGTCTTCTGTGTCGAAACTAGCATTGGGATCCATGTTTATTAATACGTTACACCGGCCGCTCTCCCCCTTGTTTCCCCCAAGTTACGTCACACGCGGGAGGTCACGTCCCGAGGCTTTTTTATGCGGAAGTGAACATTTCTTACAAAAACGACGCCAGATGTCACTGTAGTGTATATTTCTGTATATTTTTTAGAAAATCTAGAGTATTCATCATTTTCCTACACATTTATTCACAGGTGTGTGGAAGTTGCTCTTTAAAAATGACAAGTCCTTTTCTATAAGCTGTGCACCGTTATGGTGTAAATATATAACCTATCTACAAATTGAATCAAATATAAAAGTCAGCCGAATTACTATTGATACTGCAAGAGACGTATTGTGTGAAGAGAAATTGAAGATGTTGTTTAATTGCTGATATATTTATGATCCATGTCAGGGCCGGCCCCTAGCACTGGCGTTATAGATGTTCGCCTAGCGCGCCAGATCTGGGGAGGCGCTGCGCTGGTAGCTCTGGGAGGGAAACACATTTTTGTTGACCGTTGGTGCTCATCCTAATTTTTGGCCTTGATGTCAGAATATTCATAATTAAGTAAACGTAACACCCTTTTCACCCCGGTTACGCTTTTCATTTGCCCTGTACGATGGGCGCTGTAAGTGATGAAAGTGGGGGATATTGGTTTATCTGGCGCCAGCAGGGCGAGTGAGCGAGGGAGAGAGAAAAGGGCGCACCGGTACCTGCGCTGTTGTTATTAGAATCTGGTGCTAGCTCCTCTAACGGATAGAAGAAGAAGATGTTTCTACAATAATGTGGATGAGAGTCCTCTCCTGTCAGACTGAGAGGCTCAGTGAGGTAAAGGACTCTGAATGTTTTGATAGTTAACTTTAGTCTAAGTTATCTCAGTGGGTCTCAAACGGTTTGATCACAATTTATGTAAATACACATTTCCAAGGCACTCCTTTATAATTATTGGGATGAACAGGTTTGAAAGCATTCCAATGTATACTATAGGACAGTAAACCAAAAATATAGTTTAAAACTGGAGGGATAAAAAAATATGCATAAATAAATGTTAATTAGGTAAAATAAGATATGAATGAACAACAAAAATAAAACAAGTTACATTTATTTGTTATTGGCTATGGTAGGTTATTGGTTATGTTCATATACTTATTTGATTAATAAAATGTAAACCGATCGTTTTCATATGGGTGATTAGAGTTGTACCCCTAGATCTAGTGGTAATTCTGCTCAAAGTGCACAAGATTGAAGCATTTTACTTTAAAATGTTCAAAACAATCTTCCCAGGGGGGCATACCCCCGGACCCCCCTAGAGGATGTGACGTCCACCCCCCATTCTATTGCGTATTCCTTGGACACTCTATTGACCTTTATCTTTTCTATTGTACGATTCCCTGGCTGGGGCGCCAGCTAAAATCTTGCCGAGGGCTGCAAATTGTCTAGAGCCGGCCCTGTATACAGAGATGCTGTATGAGAAAACAATGTGAGTTTGGAAAATTGCACAATATAAATGTATTTTAGTATACCTCAACAATGGAATTATGATCAGTAGAAATGGCCATGACATGGGACCTTTAACATTCGCTTTCGACTAAATAACAGATCAACGATACACAAGAAAACTCGTACACATAGCAGCCCGTACACATAGCATAGCTATTCAATAATACGTGTTTCTTTGTACACACATTTTGATATAGAATAGTTGCATTAACTTAAAATATGTGTTGCAGTGAAACATATTTTAAGTTTTGGATAAGTAAGTTTAACTGGAAATGTAAGAAAACAGATATAGAAAACTCTACTCTCCATGTTTCACTAGGAAACATGAGGACTTTTGTCCCACCCAGAAGCCGGGCACCATCCTCCCTTTGAAGGAGCTCTCGATCCGGTGCAGCAGTCTCACTTCGCTCTCCTTTCCCTCCTTCTCTTCTTCTACTGCATAAAAACTCAGGACCCCAGCTGGCTGGTCGAGGTAAACCCCAATGGTGGTGCACTCGGGGATGTCCCAGATTTCTGAATTATTGCCATTGAACCACACCTGGTAGCGGCATCCACCCCACCCGAGAGCCCAGGACTTATCATTCTCTCCAAACCCACATTGTCCGTCGCTGCCCCTCCTCCCTGCCCCCTCGTAGGCGACTCCTGCGACCACCCATCCTGAGAACTTCACCTCCCAATAAGCTCGGAAACCAAAGATTCTCTCTTTGCAAAGAACCTTGAAGAGAAAAAGGATATTTCTTGATTGCAGGAAAAATGTACATCTGGATTTACTCTTGATAAACCCTACCTGGGGGGTATGCTCATATCTCTCTGGTCCATCCAGGACGGGACAGGTGACGTTATCAGTCATGCGTGACACCTTGGATCCACCCTCAGTAATCCACAGCATCTTATTGGCTGTCTTGTCATCCAGGGAAAGGTCGATCCAGTCTGAGGGATTTGGAAAATTTGCAGCAAAGACGGTCAGAAGGAGAAACTGTAATGTATCTGTCATGAGAGCAAACAAATACGTTTTTAAATGGTTGTTCCTACGTTTCAGAAGGTCAGCTCTGCATGTGGGCTCAGGGATGTTGGGCTCGTAGTCTGGGACTTTTTCTAAGAAGCAGAGGCATTGTCTTAGAAATCTTTTTTTAAAATACATTTTAAAAGGTAAGCTATCTGTGAGTTCACATTTAGAGATATATATTTTTCATGGTTTGCTAAAACATCATACCTGTTGGAGAGGCTGAATTTTTTTTTCTTTCAGGTTTTGTCCCTGTAATTATAAAACAATCAATATTAAGTTTGAAAACGTTTCGAAATGTAAAGTTAACAACTCTGCTCTCATTTCTAAACCTAAAAGAAATGTTTCTTACCATCAGTATGCACTTTATCTCAACAAAAGATTTGTTTTCTGGCAGATTAAACTCCAGGGTTCTGCATTATCAGGCATTATCTACTGAGGACTAGAAAAGGAGTTTACTCACCAGATTTTCCATTTGCTGGCATGATTCTCTGACTGGGAGCACTGGTTGGCATCTATAATCGCTTCTCTCTCTGCTGCAGTGAGGCAAATAGCTTCTTTATATACCCACAGGAAAGAGGGTATTAAAGTTTTTTGAGGCCCCCTGGGGCTCCCTCAGAGAAATTTTGGTAAGCTATGCAGAGGTAATTAGCTCAATAATAGGCGTGCTTCTGAGCCAAACCAGGATATTCAGATCAGCGCCTGATCAGCGCCAACACATGACCAGCTGACCCATATTTATCTTTGTCGTTCTGAATTTGTTGCTACAATTGTTCTGTCATCGTTTTGTCATCATACTCACATCTTTGAAGTTGATACCTGTGCAGGAATGTGGTCATCCTTCACAGACGAGAGGGGTCACGCAAGACTGGAGGAACATCTTAACGCCACATCTTTGGTGGAGAGAAGAGAAAGCTGGACGACAGAGAGGTCATCTTTCTTAATTCACTTTTTAAGGAGAGAACTTTAAGGTAAAGATTTACATTTTTTTATAATTACATTACATGTTACTTGTTAGACGCTTTTATCCAAAGCGACTTACATACTCAATACTGTGGCCAATCCCCACAGGAGCAATTTGGGGTGAAGTGTCTTGCCCAGGGACACAACGACATGCTGACTGCAGTGGGGTTTGAACCTGACCCCCTGACCCCCACCACCAAGGCTCTATCCACTGCGCCACACGCCTCCCTATAATGTTACTGACTTGCTCTGTTATGTCTTTTAATAATCTTAAGGTATGAAGTAAATGCTTCTTTGCTCCTTTGACAAAGTAATATATAAACTGTTCTATAGAGATTCCCCGGGTTTGGTAAAGTTAATAATTGGTCATTCATAAGCATCTCCTGAATGTGTATTGAGTGGTGACATTGTCATTTTTTATAATTTTTTGTAAAAGTAGAAAAAGTTCTAAACTATTTAAAAATGATTACCCGTTGTTCTGTGGTTTGTTTGTTTTTAATGTGGAAACAACCTTTTTACGGAACATTTAACAGTGGAATCATAAGTGATTTAGTCTTAATTATCATTTAACTTTGAATTTTTCCTTTGTACGTTTTATGATAAAGATTGTCAATAGACTCTCTTGGCGTTTCTAAAACTGAAGTCATGACCTTGACTGTGCACACAGCTTGGCCTTTGTGGTGTAGATCATTTGTCTGTCAGCATTGGTTTGAAAGCCACTTGGCCACTTGGCCCCCAGTTTCTGATCCACGAGATACGATTGAAGGAATTCAGATTCCCTCACGCGAACCCGTCACCGACACTCTGCCTCTCATTTATTTTCTATGTATCACTGGCAATCTTAGACAGTTCGGTCACTATAGCTCCCGCTATTTACTGTTTAGTATGTTGGTTGCCCGCCAGACATTTACTTGGGCAGGCAGGACAACTAGAAGGTTGGGGCAGCCTTGACTAGTTGGCTGTTTGCCGGGACCGTAAACACCTGAGCTCCCGGCTCACAGCGGGAAACAAATCACAGGAAAGGGGTTTATGACCTGCGACATACTTTTCTTTTGACCCTGGCCATGGGTATAAAGGCACTTGTAATAGTTTATGGTTGATGCAATAATGCATGTCAAGTCCATAGCTATGGAGGTATGACGACCTAAGGTTCCTCAAGGCAAAGAAGGTAAATAGGTTATACAGTTGTATGTAATTTGGACTGCTTGTTCTAAGTATAGTATATTTTAAATGTATATTCAAATGCATGGTTATGGCAGTACAGTATATATATATATATANATCATCTTAATATATTGTTGTTGTATTGTTATATAGAAAATCTTCATCATCCACACTTAGAGGACAAACTGTCTTTGTCAACTTGCATACATAATGTTACACTTTCAGTGATTTAAATATTTTCACTTAATTCCTAATGTTAACAACCAGATATTTTATAATTTTCAGAATTGGAACCCTATGAATGAAAAGTGAATGTTGCCTTACTCAGCCAAAATTATTCTAAAAAATTATCAAAAAGCACATGAGTAAATACCACATTGCATCACATTTTGATATCGAACAAAGTTACAAATACACATTTGCTGCTGCTAGGCCCCACACAGCTTCACCAGGAAACAAACATATCTTTGAAGTCTTATACGCAGAATTCATGTGCTTGCATGTCCGTGTGGTTGTGTTTGCATAGACCAATAATCCTGTCCACCATCAATGCATCAATGCTGTCACTGTGCAATGTGGAGGGATCATTGGTTGTGATGCAGTGGGAGGGGGCGTGGTTTACTTGGTACCAGGGGGTGTACTTCAGATATCGAAGCATCCATGCAACCTTTTTAAGGAAAAACATACAGCTCCAATTACAAGCTTCCATCCTCCCCCTCCTTTTCTATTGGAACATTTTATCTCACGTTCATGTCCACGCCAGCTCTAATTCCTCCACCTTTGTCCTGCATTAAAGGTATATAAGAGTGGCATTAAGTTGTCACGCAGTGGAGCCAAAAGAGACAGATCAAACTCAGAGGGACCGGTGACATCAGGCTCGAGACAGGCTCACCACAACAGCTTTAAAACCCTTTCATCAAGAATGCCAGCCACCAACAGAATCATTTCTGACAGCCGGATGGCAGATAAAGGTGAAATGATTTCCTATATTTTTCCATTTTTAATAATTTGTTTGAGTACAGTAAATTCAAATTTGAAATGTTTTCCTGCTAAATGTCATCCATTTCTTAGCACATCCTAAATTCCTGAAAAATTAATTAATTTTCTGGTAAATTAAGCCTTTAAGTAATATGTCAGCATATCTTAGTAGGCGCTAATGCAGCAATTATGATCAGCAATGCTTTAAATGTACTGATTCAAGTACCCCAACCTTACTGTGACTGCAACAGCTTTTATTATCCTCCGAGGCATATCCTGAGTGAATGGGTCACTAGAGTTAATGTCTGTATGGATAGCGCAATATTTCACAGGCCGATTTCATGCTTGTCGTTATGAGGGGCCTTTAATGGTTTTACTGCCTGGGAGCAAGGGTCTGTAAGCGTCAACATCATCTGCATTAAACAAGATTTAACGTGTATTCAAATGTTGTATGTGTAGTGTAATACCATCTTGAAAATGGGTGACATTCAGCGGGATTGTAGCTCAATAATGTCAGCTTACAGACTGTTTTATCATGACAACAGAGGAAAACAATCTCATATGAACCTGTCAAATAACTTTCAGAGGAGTACCTTGTATACTTTGCAGTTACTGATGTTAAATTTTTTATAATTATCATCTTTTTAGCCATAGAAATCTAGCCTTTTGCCTGTTCAACACAACATAGTCCGAATAAAATGTGTGTTTCTTCTAACACCTAAAATGAGCGTTATCACCATAAAAACAGACACAGTTAGATCCTTGCGTAATCATTAAAAAAAAACAATTCAACTCCTGTCACTTTCCTAACAAGCCCGATGGCCTCAGAGGGAGTTCAAAGCTACTTTAGAGCTTAAATGTTTTGTATGGTGTCATCTTGTAATGAGGGCAGACAAAGCAGTTCGTTTTCATCACAGCTATATTCAGACATGTGGCCTAACATTCTCTCATGGCCCATCATCCTTCCGTCAACAGAGAAATAAATATCATCTCATATCCAAGTCTCAAGTGGCTTTAAAATAACTGTCAAATTTGAAAAAGGCGAATAATCATAACAACACGCAAAACATAACTTCATTTTCAAACTTTTTTATTTTTTTTCACTCGTCAAGAAAAACTTGAGTTGTGTTCTGATGGGTTGCCAATGTGTGAATAATAAGATGGTTTATTTTGGAGATGTGTTGATATAAATAAAACTCATTACTTATGTTAGTTGACGCTGACATCTTAATGCTGCCCGGATTAGGTGTCTCCTCCTCTTGATCTCAGTCCGTAACAACAAACGGGTCACTGAATGCTTGTACAAGTATTCCTTACAAAATTGGCATCAGGTCAGAGCTTGAAATGCAACTGTTATCCATCAGCTATTAGTTCAAGGAAAGTTGCTACACAATACGCCGCCTGTTATCAACCCTAATTTGAAATCTAAATGTTAGCAGACTTAATTATCTTCTGTCTGCATTATAAGCTCCCTTTATTAAAAAATAGCCCCCTTATCAAATGTATGAATAAATGTGATACAATCTATTATCCTCACATTAACTCTATTGCAAAACAGCTGTGTTTCATTTAGGCCAACATTAAATGAAATTTGTCACTTTTTTTGATGGGTTTACTCAACTCTCCTAGTTGTTGTTTACCTCAATAAACAAATACTCGATCTACATCCCCAATTTATCGGATTTGTGCAAGTAGATCATATTTCTTCTCATCTGATAAACTGCTCTGAGCTTCATGCAGCGCTCCACTGTGACTGAGGCTTACCCACCTCCAACATTTGAGGTGTCTTGTTAATCCTAACTGCCTGGCATGAATCAGCCACTGGCTCCAGAAAGTTGCTGATGAGCCGGCAGAGGCAGATGGTTTCTAAGTATACACCCTTTTGCACTTCATCACCTGTTGGGACACACCTGACATGTACTCTTTCCGATATTATTTATAACAGCCCAGTATCAAACTCATTATACAGAATGTTGCACTTTCTCAAATTGTTGTTCTTTCTTTTTTTCTGCAGAAAAAAAAGTTAAAAAGGACAACTCACCAACAGGTAATTTAATTAATTTTTTTTATTATAAATGATTATTATTAACATTATTATTATTATTATTATTATTATTAGTAGTAGTAGTAGTAGTAGTAGTAGTAGCAGTCGTTTTGTTAATTAATAAACAAATATGATTCATTATCATTTTTCTTCATTATTATTATTATTATGAATAGTAGTAGTAGTAGTAGTCGTTTTATTAATAAACAAATATTATTTATGAACATTTTTCTTTATTATTTTTTTAACGTTTTTTTTATTATTATTTGATTGAATTATTATTACTTTTTAAATGGTTTCAATGGATAATATTCTCAAATATTTTGTATCTAGCTATATGGTAATTTCCAACTATTAATCAACAGACACAAGAGACATAACATGAGACATTTAATTTAACTCAAAATTAGACACCTTATTACAGGCAATCAATCAAAGTCATATCAGGCTTGTGCTTTTTAATTATTGCGCGAATACAGATTACAAATGCAATCCGTCTCCAGTTTCCATTACCTTATCTGACCTTGTTTTTCTGTCACCTGCTCCTCAGAGAATGTCCCCTTCTATGAGCCAAACACCCCCGAGCCTAAATGCAGAGCTGATCTTATAAAACGTAAGATTGTCACTCAAGTTTTTAATCTTTCACAATTTTTCATTAAAAAAAGGTTTAATTTTTTGGCATTTATTTCTGTTGTTTTGTTCCCAGACTGGTTCAACCTTTCTTTTGATGACAAGACAGCCAATAAGATGCTGTGGATCGGAGAGCAGGGTGCTAAGGTGGCCCGAATGACCGATGACATCACTTGTCCCGTCTTGGATAGACCAGAGCGATATGAGTATTCTCCACAGGTGAAGATGCACTTATTTTTGTTTGAAATAATGCAATTTAATTTCTCCTGATGTTCAATATGGTGTGAAATAAGATAAGGGTGTATAATACTGTCATCCCCCTGCCATAGCCATTAATATGATTGTAAAACCCAGGCAACGGGACTCTCTACTTGAGGGCTGTCCCGTGTGTTTATTTAAATCCTGATGCAGCTGGTTTGGCATTGCAAGTCGGAGTACTCTGAATTCTCCTGCCCGGCAGCTGTAATAAATCACAGGTTATGTTGGATTGCCACTGAGTCACATTCATTCCCATCCACGTTTCCAAAGGTTCTTTGCAAAGAGGGAATCCTGGGTGTCCGAGCCTACTGGGAAATCGAATACTCAGGGTGGGTCGTGATCGGGGTCGCGTACGAACGAGCAGGAAGGAGGAACAGCGACGGATCCTGTGGCCTGGGAGAGAACGAGGAGTCATGGGGTCTGGGCTGGAGCGGTTCTAGCTATAACACCTGGCACAACGGCTCCTTTGTAGAGATCCTGGATGTTCCCAAGTACACAACAATTGGTGTTTACCTTGACCAGCCTGCCGGTATCCTCAATTTCTATGGTGTGGATGAGGTGAAGGAGGGAGAGGAAAACACAGGAGAAAAGGAGGTTTACACTTTGCAACAGATCAGGAGCCCCTTTGAGCAGAAAATGATACCTGGTTTCTGGGTAGGGCCGCAGTCACACTGCTCTATCAAAAAGAAGGAGGAATAAATGTCAGAATCAACATTACAATATCATATCTGAATATTGATGATTAAGAGAGAGAAGTTAAACTACCTTTAATATTAAAGCTACAGTTATTGCAGCTTTAAACACAAAATGACAAATTACATTAGAATACTAGCATTAGTGCACATGAGATGTATTCCTTATATTCAGTATCTCTTAGATATATACAGTAGTTAGGGTTGTACATTTCAGGTAAGGCAACAAAGTGCAATCAGGTGCGTGGGGTTCACCTTTGACCTACATGTACCGCTCCTTTGGACTTTCCTGTCACCACTGGACCACTCGAGGTTTATACTGATATATTTATATGTATTTTTATTCCTCCATTGTTAATGTTTGCTAATAATGTATAGGGTTACATGGTTTGAATGTTTGCTATATGTAAAGTTTGAATAAATAATAAAACACTGAGTGGGACATAATTTGCCTTGTTTGGTTTCTTAAAAAAGTAGTGTTGCAAGCATTCATATATTAGATTACTTAAACAATACACTGATAATAGGGTTATTCCGATTTCAACAATAACATTTGTATTTCCTTAAGGTTAGCTGTTAGCATACATATACCTACAAAGCTGCTGATGTCATATTCTAATTGACGAAAACAAATCAGCGATGATGCTCTTGATGCAGGGCTTGGTAACACACATGATACTCTTTTACAAACAGACTTCTAATGTTTCAAATGTGTCCAGTGTCTGTTTTTAGCCTCACATAAATCTATATGACACAGCCAAGTGCGTACCCTCATATAGCCCCTGCCAAATAATGTTCCATTAACCTTAAATACCCCGTCAGACGCTCCTCAACGCCGCTGAATCATATTTACTGAGGGTATAAAAGTCGAGTGGAAGACTTGCACTCTTCATATTGTGTAAGCAAATGGAAATGGATTATTAAAACCCAGCTAAAAGATGCCCACTACACCCAAGTCTGCCATAATCATCTCAGAGAGCAACAAACCAGGTACAATGACTTTGTAGCATGAAAATATTGTTCATTAAATGAAATGCATTAGCATTATTAAAAACATGTATAAGCTCTTTTAACATTCATTACCACTGCCGGACTTTTCTTGGATTATGGTAGCTGCCTTGTCAAACACTGTATTACATTTAAGGCATGTACTGTATGTCTTAAATCCCTCATGGTGTAGTGTAAGCAACAGATGGGTTTAATACCAAAATGAAGCATGTCAAAACACATACATATGAGTGTTAAATATTTTAATACCTTTAAATAGCATGTGTTTTGATTTTTTTTCAAAAGAGATGTGAAGTTCAAAATATTTGAATTAAATAAATGGAAAAAAATAAATGGAAAAAAGGGGAGGGGGGATTTTAACTTCACCTGTTGCAGTGATATTAATGAACGGAAGTTGATGGTGCAACCTTTTCAGAATAAGATACCAATGTAAACTACAATTTTGAAACTCTTTATGAACTTATAATTTCAAAAATGTACGAGACAATTGTTCCTAATATTTATTAATCATTTAAATTCTATACTTTCTGAAAGAAGAATCCATAATACTGAGATCTATTTTTCATTGTTTAACCTTTGGTCTTAACCTTTTTAGGCCAGAAAATGAATTACAACAAGAAAAAGAAGACAATTCAAGGTAATTGTCCTGATACATGCTTTAATGCTCTTTATGATGTGAATATTAGTTTGTATTTTCAACCATTTTTCTTTCCGTACAGAAAAAGTTCCTGTTTATGAGGCGGACATCCCAGAGCCAACATGCAGAGCCGAGCTATTGAAGTGTACGAGCAGATTTATTTTCAAACAATTGAATGTTTAGCACTTTTGTCCAGGATTTAATTAACGAAAACTGCATTTGCTTTATTTTCCTCCTACAGACTGGAAGAATTTTTCTTTGGATGATAAGACTGCCAACAAGCTTTTGTGGATTTCCGACAATGGGTCTAAAGTGTTACGTAGGACTGAGGAGGTTTGTCCTGTCCTGGATAGATCAGAGAGATACGAGTACTCTCCACAGGTGACTCAGAAAATAATAGAAAATACAGTGACAGGCTTGTAAAGAAACACATGGTTTGTTTGTTGTAACTGTTGTTTATTTTTTGTTATTTCTTAAAAGGTTTTGTGCAAAGAGTCTATTTGGAACATGAGGGCTTATTGGGAGGTAGACTACGACGGGTGGGTGGCGGTCGGAGCCACCTATGAAGGAGCAGCAAGGAGAGCAAACTCCGGGCAGAGCGGCCTGGGGGAGAATGAAGAGTCCTGGGGTCTGTGTTGGTCAGGCACACAATACCAGATCTGGTTCAACAGTGTAAACGAAGAAATATTAGATATCCCGTACAGCTCCACCATTGGAGTTTACGTGGACCAGCCTGCAGGGATTATCAGCTTTTATGTTGTGACCGGTGAGGGGCCAGAAAAGGAGGTCAAGCTATTGCAAAAAATTACCACCACTCTTAAGGAAAATATTCTTCCAGGTTTCTGGATGGGAATGCAGTCCTCATGCACAATAGTGAAGAGACCAGAATGAATTGCTAAAGCTGAAACTGATCAAATTCATTGATGACATCAACGGTTTTGATACTTAAATGTCAACTTTTGCATATATTCCTGTACATCTTATTTTAATACCTTAAAGGTGGCCCAGCTAGACATTTTTGGTTCTAAAAACATTCTGAGAATGTTACAGTCATTGTTCTAGGAAGGTTTTCAGCGGGAAATTTTTGTTTGGTTCCCAGAACGTTCTTCTGAAAGGTAGGATAACGTTCTCTAAAAACATTCTTAAAATGTTTGGTGATAACATTGTTGGAACATTATGCCCTCCTATTCTTAAAACGTTTTCAGCGGGAAGTTTTTGTTTGGTTCCCAGAATGTTCTTCTGAAAGGTAGATAACTACCTAGCTGCAAGTTAGATTTTTTATGTTGCCAGAATGTTATTGTTTTAGAGAAGGATAACATGGTTTATGTTAAAGAAATTATGCAAATGTTCTATGGTAACAATTTACTAAAATATGTTTACATTATTTGAACATGAAGACATAATATTCCTGTATTGTTCAACTCAAAATTCCTGGGTAAGTGGACTGACCACTGTGGTCATTAGGATGATTTTGATAGTTTACTTAACTATTGGAATTTGACTATTAATACATGTAAAAGGATGACACGGAATCAGCTGGAGAAAGTAACATTTGTTTATTAGAAAAGGCAAGTTGGGAGTGGAGGTTGGTTATGGCGGCAGTGGGAAACAGTTGTTCCAGGGTGGGTAGAGAGGCCTGGCTGGTCTTGGGAGTGTGGAAGGCCTTGGATTACTCCTGGGAGAGACACAAAAATCAGTGTGAGGCAAAAGCAGGCAAAGTTGTCAAAGAATATGCTGGTAAAAAGCTAGAGCGGCACGCAACAAACCGTTCACGGCAACAATCCGGGCAGGTTGCAGGTGTGGTTTGATTGGAGATTGCTGCCAGCTGTGTAGAGCATACCAGCAGGCAGAGAGAGAGACACACAGTAGAAAGAAACACATACAAACACTAACAGGGGTTTCAGGGACGGGCAGTGATAGTCGGTCCGTTCTTCTATATGTCTGTCTTTGGTTTT